TTTTTAAAGGTTGAGGTCAATAAAATAAATGTATGGGGTTCATAGATCTTTTGTTCTAACTTGTTAAGTTGACTTTACAAATGATAGGCAGAGACATCAACAAAAAGAAACTGGCATTTTATCTTCTCCAATGATAAAAGCAAGATTTTGTTGAAGTAATTTTCTTAGTTGCTGTCATTTATACAAACTACAAAACACATTTTCAGAAGTTGGAAATATTTCTGCATCAAGAATGTGGACCATAATTTAAAATTGAATGCATCATTAAAAAAAATACTATCACATCACCACATTTTAGCTTTGATTCTACCTGCCATCAGAAAAGAATTTAGGAAGCCTCTTTCATCTCTACAATTTAACTAAAGGCTTCCAACTAAGGGGGTAAATATGAACTTCAGCTTTGTTTTTCTTTATTTGAATGCCAAGAATGCATCTTTAAAAGAGTGACATGCTGTAGAAGAAAGTAAATGATTAGCAAGGTCTGAATTTATGTGCAACTGGCTTGAGTAGCCTGACAATGAGCCATTATCATATCACAATGCTTTGAAAAATGAATCCAGCAAGTGTAGGGAAAGCTATGAAATCTGTATAATTTTGTCGCTCTAAGGAGAGATATATGATGTTTCATTTTGCACAAGATTTAAAAATGAAGACAGTAACATGTTCCTGTTACACTGCCCACTTTGTAAGAGTGGGGCACTCATGGAGTTTTGTCACTCAGGGGCCTCACGTATACCTCCAGTGGGAAAACATCCACCTTCTTAGAGCTTAAGACATTCACAAAATTTTAACTAGGAAGCTGGGGTTTTCACACACCTTTGCTGATTGACTTGTAACAGCCGAGGCCAAAGTCAAATTACATATTTACCACCATCTATGTGCTAGCAAAATAGAAAAAGAAACAGATAAAATTTGACCTCTACCATCCATGTCTCTCTGAGGTTATCTATTCACCTTTGTCAGCCAAGCAGCCTGTAATAATTCTTATTCCAGTAGGGAATCTAGAAAGATTTTAGGTACCTTGTTCATACCATTCATTTAGCATGAAATTCCTAAAACATCATTAAGCAAAGGAGAAAATTGGAAGGGGTAACGTCAATAATCTATCTAAGCCGGGCTCGGTGGCTCAGCCTGTAATCCCGCGCCTTTGGGAGGCTGAGGTGAGTGGATTGCCTGAGCCCGTGGGTTCGAGACCCGCCTGGGCAGCGAGACCTCACCTCTACAATAAATAAAAAAATCAGCCGGGCGTGGTAGCGCATGCCTGTAATTCCAGCTACTTGGAAGGCTGAGGCGGAAGGATCGCCAAGCCCGGCAGGTCGAGGCTGCGGTGGCCGGGAGCGGCCACTGCACTCCAGTCTGGGCGACAGAGTGAGACTCCAACTCAAAAAAAAATAAATAAATAAAAAATAAAAAATAATCTATCTAAACTGGTTCAAAACCACTGACCGTCGTTAGTCTACTTGATCTTTATGATTTACTTAATTTTGATTATTTTCCTTACTAGGAATCTTAAATGATAAAAAAAGTAAGCACAATTATAAGAGTTTCTCTGTCATTCTCTTTATCTGAGAGCTGACTCCTTTGTTTTGAAAGACAAGTTCAAATAGTCAGCAACAAACTTTTTAAAAGTGACCCAAAATTGGGATTGCCAAATTTAGCAATTAAAAATAAAGGCAACCCAGTTAGATTTGAATGGTTTCCAGTTGCTTATGCATATGTATATGAGACGCATATGCACATTTAGATGAGAATCCTCTTGCAAAGTTTTACCGTATCTCTTATGCACAGAAATAATTCAGATTTTACTGGGTCTTTTTCATAATCTGGTAATGTTGTCCAAGATCAGTGGCCTCTAGCCATGCAGTTTAAGAGGGCACCTGCCTGTGGCTTACATTTGCTCCACCTTTCACATTCAGAACCGCCGCTCAGTAGTGGTCGAAAGCTAAAAAGAGATAATTGCTCTTTCTAGGTGATCCATACCAGTGCCCTCTTTAATTTTTGGCACTCTGTCTCCTCAAAAATTACTATCCCATGGCAGTAGAGATAGCCATTCCCCTAACTGGGGACGAATTCCAATTTGAAATACCTAGTAAAAAAAGCAACTTAAAATCATCTCTATGAGATGATTCCAGAGGTAACAGCTTAATTTCCCACATGAATTCAAAACCCAGAACCTCTCTATCTCAGGCTATAACATACTACACTTATGTCCCCCCACACAATTTTCAAGACTTTCTTCTTTTACCCTCTCATATATCCTTGGGATTTTTCTCCCGCTCGTGCATCTGCCCGGAGCGTATTTCTCTGCTTTGTCCACTTGGTTGGTTGCTCTCGCAGTGGTCTGTCTTTCGGTTTGTGCCCACAGCTCACTGAGAGTGCCCTGCACTCACTGAGAGCTCAGTAGCGCTTCTTCACTGTCTGCCTGAATGCATGCACTGTGTTTGGCATATTGTTGAGATTTTAGAGAAAATGTGAAGCAAGAGAGTGAGTTAATGAAACTTGCCAAGTCTGGAGGTTGAAACGATTATTATCCAAACCCATTTTCTGAAGCATGCCCGTCGTCTGTGTTCAGTGCAAATATATCCCTCTCCTCATCTTCTGACTGTGAGCTTTCTGAATGTCCTGCTCTGTCTGTCAGGGACTACCAGAGTGGGGCATTAGCTATAACAAGTGTCTAAAACTCAAATACCTGCAAGGAGCAGGAATATTGCATGCATAAAGGAAAGAGCCATTTCAAAGAGACAGTAGGAAGATGTGAGCAACCTAGAGACAGCATGATGGCTATGAGGTTAGAGGGGTTTGCTTGGACTATAATCAGGAAGCTTGCCGTGGTCTGAACATTCGTGTCCCTCCCAAATTTATATGTTGAAACTTAATTCTTCCTATGGTGGTATTAAGAAATGGATCCTGTGGAAGGAAATTAGGGCACAAGGTTGAATAAAATGAGTGTCTTTACTTAAAAAAACAACCCAAAGGAGCTTTGTCACCCTCTCCTCTATGGGAGGAAACAGTTGGAAGGTACTGCCCATGAAGCAGAAAATGAGCTCTCACTGGATGTCCAATACACTGGCATCTTGACGTTGGACTTCCTAGAATTCAGAACTATAAGCAACAAATTTCTGTCATTTATAAGATACTCAATCTAAGGTATTTTGTTATAGCAGCAGAAATGGACTAAAATAAAGTCTAAATATAAGAGATTGTACTTGCATCTGGTTAGGTAAAAGGCATTAATAGCAATGGAAAGTGGACCAAGTAACTTGAAGAGTCAACAGGTGAAAATATGTTTCTGAATCTACCACTGGCCAGAGGAGAGAAGACTCCAAGCCTTGTCTCAAGCATATGGTATACTCTGTTGATACTTATATCCTCTATGGGGAAATAGATTCGTTAGGTTATCATAGCCTAGGATAGGAAATAATCACTTAATTCACAATCTTATTCTAATTTCAAACACAGCAAACGACTTTTAGATTGAAATTTTGGCTTTCCATCTCGATTTTTATTTTTTTGAGTTGGTATGTCATTCTGTTTCCCAGGCTGGAGTGCAGTGGCATGCTCACAGCCCCCACAGCCTTGGCCTGCCGGGCTCAGGCGATCCTTCCACTTCAACTTTCCAAGTAGCTGAAAGTACAGGCACAAGCTACTATGTCCACTTAATTTTTTTATTTCTTGTAGAGACGAGGTCTCACCAGGTTGCCCAGGCTAATCTCAAACCGGTGGGCACAGACAATCCTCTCGCCTCCGCCTCCAAAGTGCTGAGATTATAGGTGTGAGTCACTGCGCCCCGCTCCATCTAGGTTTTTTAACAGGAGACCACACAAATGGAAATTTATCTGTTCAGTAATCAAATTTCTTATGAAAACCTACTAAAATGGTTAAATAAATAATTTTGTTATTTCATGAAGGAGAATACTGTACAGAAGCAAAAATAAATGAGTGGGAGCTATTTGAAAACACAGAGATAAATCTTCAAAACAAAGTTAAAATCAAAAAGAAATTGCAGCAGGATGCATATATCACAAGACCAGTAACTTAAATTCATAACAATGTAAAATAATATTATACTATTTAGGAATGCATGTATAGATGTGGTAAATGTTAAATTCGACAATGGTAGAAAAACGTGTGATAATGCAAGGACATACAGGAGATTTCACCTGCATGTTGAACATCTACTGTTTTAACCTGATGGTGTGTACACAAGGGTGCATCTTGGCATTTTGCATACCTGGCATTTTAAAATTAACCAAATCTAGCAACAGTTTATAAGAAACTTATACAAGGGCCTCTCTCACACACACATACACACACACACACACACACACACACACACACACACACAGGTATGTGCATACACACATTAGTTCCTTGGGAATTGTCTAGTTTAATTTATCTTCCCAGTGTTTGTTTCAGTAAGACCAAGGACAAGATTTATTCATGCAGCCCCCACACCAGCTTGTCCTTTCCAAGAAGTTCTGGATATTACTCCATCTGGGCATCCCCAAGACCAGCAGAGGCTCCATTAGGAGGAGCAAAAATGAGTGTTTGGTTTTGACAACATAAAGAAAATTATAAGATGCTAGAGGATTGTGGCGAATAAAGGTACTCTCCAGGCAAAAGTCCAACAACTTTAATGTGTAAAATCAAGAGGGCTTCAGTTCAACCAACCTCTCTTCAATATGATTAGAATTTTGCAAACATTTTGGATACATTTTAAAATCTTGGTACTTAGCAGCTCTGTATAATTTATACGATGCTGTATGCTAGGCTTCTCTGATTCTCTCTCTCCCCACACACACACCTATCATCTCTCATTGGCATTATCTCCTGGTGGAATGTGTTGCTCTACTAATAACTTCATGTTTCTATTATCCCACTAAAATTCAAAGTCCACAGTTCTTGGCACTTGTAGTAGATAGAAAATTTGCCTCAGACACTCTTGAATGAACTATTAAATTAATATAACTCTTTCAATACTTCCTGGTTTATATACTTACCATTTAGGGTGCTTCTGTCAATCAAATTAGTATCAACTGGCCAATACCCTCCATCTCCATGACGACCTGTTTATTGGGAAATTACGTCAGAATGTTAGTTGGCTTACACAACGAGAACACAAATGAATCAAAATGAGCAGTCAAAAAGAATGAATATTTTAACATTTGCAGTAATTGAACAGATTACCTGGGTCACCTCCAGGAAAACCTGGCAATATTAATACACTTATATCTGTGAGAAAATGTTATTTCCCATGTGTGAGAAAAATTGGTTGCAAAAATAGACTCTCTTAACCAAGCTAAATTCAATTTCTCTGTGGAAATCCATCCCCTATTCTTTTTTGTTTCCTCCAATATTCTTATTAAAGTGTCAGAAAAACAAACACAAGTTACAGCAGTGGTATCAGTCTGTCATTCTCCTGAACTTTTCAGAATAGAAATGATACAAGTCATGGCTGCTAGGTCCGGAAGATACTACTGCCCATCTCACATGACTTTATTGCAAATTATTATTATTATCTATGAGGGGGCAATATTTCATCTAATAACTGGGCTTTGCGTACTCTTTTTGTTATGTGCAAAACAAGGTACCTAGATATGTGATACTAGATGAGAAGTAAGAGTGGCAGATATGTCTAAATATTTCCTTCATGAAAAGGAGGAGGATTGCAGTACTGCATTATTAGAAACTCTTCCTTCCATTACGTGTTTAACAGTTGTGGAAGTAGTATATGAGAGAACAGAGCCAGGGCTGACCAGATAGAATTATACTATCATCCAAATCTTAATTAATAGTGTCTCATTACATGGCATCCCTTTTTCTATTGATGCATTTGCAGAACTGTAACTATCTGATTAAATTGGGAGTCACAGAATAACGAGGTAGACCACTTATAGAAAAAAACATTTGAGAGTTGAATTTATATGCACATGCATGCCAGAATATAGCTAATTCTCCTTCTCCATTTCAATCACTTAAAATATTTTCATCTGAAAGCGATTATAAGCAGTGGCTGGAATACAGAAAGCCAACTGGAACAGTCAGTTACAATCAGAGATCGGTTTCTTACATTTATAGATTTCATTCTCTTCATCTCAATGACTTTCAAATTCTGATTTTGTGACATTATTTAGCATAACAAACATTATTCTTACTAAAGCGTTCCCAAGATTTTATCTTTTTATTTTCAAAATAGCTGTGAAGAAACAAATCAGAACCCTGTTAACTGACAGGATTTTAAAAATTCACTAAAAGATGGCCACTGTGTCAAGCAGCAGCCCAGCACCTTTCTCGTCCTGCAAGATGGAGAGTGGAAATCCCAGTCACGAATTGACAAGGACATGCTGAATACTTTTGAGCAGGCAATACACCCAGTTTCCAGCAGTGGTCTCTTTGAGCACACAGACACCAGAAAAAAAATAGCAGATGCGGGACTCTGGGTAGCACCTTGCCAACCACCCAGTTCCAGGCTTGGACAAAGTCAGCAGCTCTGCTGGGTGCAGGAGAGGAGTGAGTGATTCTAAGACATTTTGAGTCAGTTCATCCCCTCACAGGCACGTGTGACCCATGTGTCCCCTGCAGGAGGAACTCTGATTGGGAGACAGTGAGGGGGGAACTGGAGCTCAAGTGAAATGGGAAACAGCACCCGCCTGCTGGCTGCCATCATGGTGGCAGGAAGAGAACTGCCTGCAGAGTGAATCTGGCTGGCGTACCTGCTGCTGGGAGAGAGTAGAAAAGCAGACTGAGGCCTCTTGGGCTAGCAAGGCAGAAGGTAAGGACTCAGCCAATACACCCGGCACCAAGCAGAGCAGGGGTCTCATTGTACACACAGAGACCAGAACCCAACTGCAGCATAGGATTCTGGGTGCCGTCCCCCAACCCTGTTCCAGACTTGGGCAGACTCAGAGGCTCTGCTCAATGAAGGAGAGGGGTGAGTAATCCCTAGGTGAGTCATCTCACCCTTCCAGTGCAAGTAGAGGCAGAAGGAGCCCCCGATATTGTATCCTGCCACAGGGTGGGTGGAGTAAGAAGCAGACGTGAACAGTTCTCCCTCTCTCACTGAGTGATGGAATCGTAGAGGATGAAAGCAGATGTGTCACAAATGAGGAAAAATCAATAGAAAAACATAGGAAATCCTAGAATCCCAAAGAGATAACATCCCCCCTCCCCCCCCCAAAAAAAACAACCATCAGAGTACAACAGAAACCTCCCGGAATGACCTCCCCCAGATGACAGTCACATAAATTAGAGAAAGGATAACCAAAATGAACAGGAACCAAGAGAAATCAGAAGTGAAATGCAATGAAATCAGAGGAATTGACCAATTTCAAAAAGCCTATTTTGAAATAATGAAAATAAAGGACTCCATCCTCAAAATAAATGGCAAATTAATAAGCATAAGGAGCAGAATCAACCAAGCAGAGGAAAGAATCTCAAAGCTTGCTGAGCAAAATATGAAATTAATCCAATCTGTTAAAAACATAGGAAAAAAAACTCAAAAAGAATGAGCAAAGCCACCAAAAGATGTGCAACTATATCAACAAGCCAAACCTACACCTGAAGAAGAAAGGTATCCCTGAAGAAGAAAGGGGAATGGAGAACACCTTGGAACAACCATGTCATGAGGTCGTCCAAGAACATTTTCCACATCTCACTAGAGACATGACCATTCAAGTACAAGAGAACTGAAGAACTCCCACAAGGCATCATATGAGAAGAACAGTCCCTAGAAGCATAGTAATCCACCTCCACAAAAAAATAATAAAAGAAAAAAATCTTAAAGGCAGCAAGAGAGAAGAGCTAGACCATCTACTAGGGAAGACCAATCAGAATTGCTTCAGACATATCTGCAGAAACACTACAAGCCAGAAGAGACTGGGGAAAATTTGTAACATTCTAAAAGATAAGCAACTCCAACCAAGAATTTCCTACTGCCCAAAGCTAAGTTCAACAGTGATGGGGAATCAAAAACCTTCACAGACATCTAATCCATCAAAGAATATGCCATCCCCAAAGCAGCCCTTCAGGAGATGCTTAAGAAGGTCTTAAATGCAGAAAAAAGGAAAAAAAAAAGAACAATCAAGACCATCACAAAAGCACAGAAAAACATAGAGTTATCTAAGCACACAGAGCACCCACAAAGATAAAAATGCACACATATTTGTGAGCATGTAAAACAGTATTCGTCAGGATGAAGGCTCCTATGTGTGTGGGGTGAGAAATGTTGGTATCGGGAGCAATGAAATGGGTAGATGTTGCGAAAATTTTAGTTGGCTGACTAACATGAGGACCAGTCCACCCCTTTCACAAATACCTTGTTTCCATAACTCAAATGCATTTGGAGTTTCAATGAGCAGAGGATAAGCTTTGCCCACGGGACACTGTGAGATCAATGTTGGAGAAATTTAAGGGAGACGGGAAGTTCTGTATGAATATTAAGATGACTTTTTTAGCAACTGAAAGCAGCTACATTGCAAAGCAGTAAGCCCAAAGAGATGCTAACAACCCCATCACTTAAGCCAGGAAAGCAATAAATGATTTCTGTTGGGAGTAATCCTGTATTGGCTGGAAATTAGGTAGATATAGCCTATGGAGGATTTTCCTTTTCCTCCAGCAGCCTGACAAATGTCTTTTTAATGAAGTTTCAAGCTCTCTCTGCTAGGTTGTGGGAGAATGCAAAAACAAGCCCACCAGCATATCCATATATTATTTAGACGTAAAGCTCTATGGGTAGAGGACCCCCAAGATTTAGCGAGGCTATTGATCACACTGTGATTTCCAATAGGTAGAAAAAAAATCAAATGTCATACAGGTAAGAGCACTGGGTAAGAGAACAGGACTCTGAAAATGCTTTTAAGTAATAAAGGATAGCTTAAAGTAAGCATTCTACCCGCAGAATAACATATTTTCAGTTGGTTATAATTAGATTGATACCACAAAAGGAAATTAAGTAACTCTTAACAAGCCCAAACAGAAAGCACATTAAAAAATGATGTCATTGAGAAGCACGATTAGATTTATGGGCATTTAGATTTATTGAACTGCTTCAGCAGGGAAACACAAAACCCATTTCTGGGGTATTGATGAGTCTGGAATCTCTGAATCTAAAGACATAGGAATCAAATTTTAATGTTGATGTTAAGTTTTCCTTCTCTGAAATATGTCTTTCAAATTTTAGGAAGGCTTCCTTTATATGATAATAATAAGTAATAATAATAATAAAAGCTTTATGGCAAACACCACAAAGTTGTCAAATTAAGAGACACTGAAGACTAAGGAGGAAAAGATATGGGGTTTTTGCTTGGAGTGTCATAGCATTTTTAAGAGCTTGTTGCCATAGAACAAATATTGTTTAATTTCATAGGGACTGATTTAGGGAAATAGAGGACTAATTAGAATTTAGAAGATGGCTGGAGTGAAAGTCAGTTAATGCAAGGATAAAAACTACTTTCCATCCCAGAGGTCTTAATTTTATTAATGAAGCATAAAACTGGTAGTAATCTTTTTTCAAAATTTATTAAATGCCTTTTCTATGCAAGGCAAACTCCTAGATCTTCCAGGAATGGGTAGTATTAAAAGATTCGTAAGATACGGATCCTGTAATTCACAAGTGATGGTGGTTCATTGTGATTAGAGCCTATTCAGGCCTATTCACGGGTAATATTAGCAAATAGCAGATGGTTCTTAATTTATTCTGACCTTAAATATTTAAGAATAACTTAATCTATTTATACTATAAAATCACTATCAGGTTTAATGTAAAATGTTTTCCCTTTATCTAGTATTATTAAAATAATTGCATGCCAATTAAAAATGTATTATTTTTAGTCATACGGCATTATATATTTCACAATTACATTTATTTCAAAATCCATAAATTAATCTTTTTGCACATTGTACTAAATCTTTTAATATTTTCTAAAATTAAAATTCTAAACAATTAAATGAGTTCACAGAAATTTAAGTATAACATTTTTGGGAAATAATGTAATTCATTTTAGTGTGTACAAGTTTTTTTTCCCTAAATAAAGTTCAGCATAGCTCAAATAATTTAAAATTGGCAGGA